CTTCCTGCAACTGCCCCAAAGAGGAAAAAGAGAAAAAGGCATAATAACTACACCATAATACCCAGCTTTCCTCAAGCCTTGATCAGAAATGATTAATTTTTGTATCATACGATTCGTCTCAGTAAAACGAATCGAATGGTACTAAATTTATTCGATTCTGATCAGTGTATCGCAAGATATCATCAAAAAACATAGGTGCGCCAGAATGCCCGACCCTCCCTTATAATATAATAACGAATTTTACAAAAAAATAAAATAAATTGGATTAAGGGCTATGATTTGAATAAATAGAATTTTAACCAAAATTTTTCAAAAAGAATCTTTTTTGTTAATAAAATGTTTTTAAAAATATCCGTATGTACTAATAAATCTTTTAGTCGTATACATTACTCATACAATATTAATACATTAAATACACTACTAATACACTCTTTACATCCATTCTTTAAATATTTTAATGTACAACACCTTGACAAAACTAGTAAGTGTAAGATATCCAACCAAAACCGAAAGAAGATAAAGGAAATAAAATCCTGGCAATGGAGTCATGCTTACAAAGACATTTAATGGTGAAAATGGTATAGCGATTCCAATCAGCATTATAACTGGAATACTCAAAAGAACCGGTAATGACGCTGTTGATTGTATAAACGGAATTTTTGGCGTTCGAATCACGTGGACTATCAATGTTTGAGTGAGCAAACCTTCAACGAACCACCCCGTTTCTGTAATAAAAATAGATCAACGTCATTAAAAAAAAAAATAATAGTAATAAATAATTATGGATTGAACTTTATTGAATGTTATACGTACGGAATAATGTGACTTTGGCAGGATCGGTAGAGTTACATTGGTAGTAATACCACATGAATAAAAATGTTGAAATGTCAAAAATACTACTCACTGGTCCAATAAATACCATGAACCTAAAAATTCCTTTTGTAGCCCATCGTTTTGGATGAACCAAAAAATCAGGGTCCTGAAATGTAATACAAATGATTAATTATATTGTTATTGTTATTAGATAGCGATAAAAATAAAGTTGTGTTTAAAAAAAAAACAATACCATTCGATCCCAAGGAATAGTACTCTGAGAAAAATCATACAAAAGATTTTGCACGATTACATGAATAGGAGCCATAGGGAGGAAAGGTAACCAAAAAGATGCCACCATAAGACTAAACACATTTCCAAAATTTGAAGAAATAGCCATTTTGATATATTTAATAGTATTTCCATATGTCAATCTTCCACGAATCACACCATAAGAAAGTACCATAAGACTTTTTTCAAGTAAAATAATGTCTGCAGATTCTTTAGCAATGTCAGTTCCCTCATCAACACTAATCCCGACATCACTTTCACGGATTGCTGGTGCATCATTTATTCCATCTCCCAAGAAACCTACAATATGATTACGTCTTTTCAAGGCATTAACAATATTAGCCTTTTGTAAGGGAGTTAATTTGGCAAATATTGTAGCTTTTTCAGCAATGTCTTCTAATTGAGTATCATCAAGGCCTTCAAGATCAGTAGTTGTTACAATTGATTTTATTGGAAGATTTATTTCCTCACACACTTTTCGACAAACAACAGGTGAATCTCCTGTAAGAACTTTAACTTCAACATTATATTTCATCAATTCTTCTATAGCAGGTTTAGCACTTTGTTTAGGTGGATACAAGAAGAAACAAAGTCCAACAAGAATTAAATCACTTTCATGAGCTATAGAAAATTCTACACGTTCTTTCATACGTTTAAATGCAACTGCTATAACTCTTAAACCATCATTATTAAGATCAGTGTTCAAATTCCTAATGGACTCTAAAATGTCAGGATTTAAAGGGATGACGTCGGTATTAGGGAAAATTCCATCAGAAAAGTCATTTCCTTTTCCAATATAAACATGACTACAACAAGACAACATTTCATCTAATGCGCCTTTAGAAATCAAGAAACGATGGTCATCTTGATTTGATTCTAAGATAACAGACATTC